AAGTGATTCTCTTGCCTCAGCCTCCCAAGTAGCTGGGATCACAGGTGTGCACCACCACACCCAGCTAAGGTTTTGTATTTTTAGTAGAGACGGGGTTTCTCCATGTTGGTCAGGCTGGTCTTGAACTCCCGACCTCAGGTCACCCACCCGCCTTGGACTCCCAAAGTGCTAGGATTACAAGCGTGAGCCACCTCACCCTGTTCTAGACATTTCATAGAAATGGGATCACACACTGTGTGGCCTTCTGTGTCTGGCGTCTCTCACTGAGCCTGACGTCCTCAAAGTTCATCTGCGCTGGCCTGTCTCAGAGCGTTGCTCCTTTTCATGGCTGAGTAATATTCCACTGCGTGGATGGGCCATGTTGCGTTGGCCTGTTCATGTGCTGAGAGTGTCTGGGCTGCCTCCACCTTCTGGCTGCCATGGTAAGGCTCCTGGGGACTTCGTGTAGAGCTGATAGTGTGGATGTATGCCCTCATTTCTCTCAGGCAGATACCTAAGACTAGCATGGCTGGGTCATCTGCAAATTTGCTGGGGAGCTGCCAGGTTTTCCCAACATGGCTGTTCCATTTTACATCCCAGCCATGACGGCGATGTGTTGTGTTGGATGCCTGTCATCTTGTAGTGTGACTACATGTGGCACGCAGGGCAACCTGTAGGTGAGTGCCTTTATTTGCTGGAGAGCATGAGTTGCTAGCGCTTGTCTGTGGCAGGCTGAGAGCAGAGCCTTGTGTCCAGTTCTGTGCGTGCCCGGCTCCCCCCTGGGTTATGCCCAAGCAGCTGTTGGGGCCTGGCCCAAACCTTAGAACGAGGCCCCTTCCCAGCATGGCCCTGCCGCTGGAACCTGGAGGTGGAAGGAGATTGCTCTTACAGCTGTCCCCCACATACCTGTTCTCTCTGGGGTCTTTTCTCAAGAATGTGACCCAAATTCCGTTTCTAGAATGTTCTGGAAATGTGAGGCATCCTCCGAGAGCCGGGGCCCATCTTCCTGTAGGTAATGGTGTTTGTTCCAGAACTCACAGTGTCTGCTGTGCCTGATGCTGCCAGGGCCTGGGGTGGGGATGATTGGAGGGTACCAGGATTGGGGGTCTGGGGCTAGGGCCAGGGTCTGAGGGTCAGGGCCAGGGCTCTGGCGCTGGCTCTGGGTCTGGGTCTGGACGACCTGGGACTGGGGCTGGGTTTGGATCTGGGGCCAAGGCCTGGGTTTGGGGTCCGGGGTCCGGCCGGGGCGCCGACCGTCCTGCCTCTCCGCAGCCCAAGCGGGAAGAAGTTCCGCAGCAAGCCGCAGCTGGCGCGCTACCTGGGCGGCTCCATGGACCTGAGCACCTTCGACTTCCGCACCGGGAAGATGCTGATGAGCAAAATGAATAAGAGCCGCCAGCGCGTGCGCTACGACTCCTCCAACCAGGTCAAGGTGAGCGGTGGCGTCACGCGGGTGACGTCAGCGCAGGGCGTTTTAGGCGGGGACGCGGCCGTGACGTGCGCGGCAGGCGACGCAGCCCAGAGCGCGGGAGGTCACAGCGGGCAGAGGACACGGTGCAGGGCGCGGCGCGGGCGGAGGGTGCAGAGCGGAAGGCGCCGGGCACAGCGCTGCGCGCATGGCGAGGACGCGACCCGCGACGGGGGCTCTGGAGGAGCTGGCCGGGCCCAGCCTGCGAGAGCGGCCTCCCCGGAGCCTGGGGGTCCTGGAGGGCGTGGGGGAAGCAAGGGGCGCCCGCAAGGGGGGGGGGTCGTCCGGTCCCCGCGTCCCTGGAGGCTCTGAGCCGCCGGGGAGACCCCAGGCCGTGCTGTAGCGCCTTCCTCCCGCAGGGCAAGCCCGACCTGAACACGGCGCTACCGGTGCGCCAGACAGCGTCCATCTTCAAGCAGCCGGTGACCAAGATCACCAACCACCCCAGCAACAAGGTCAAGAGCGACCCGCAGAAGGCGGTGGACCAGCCGCGCCAGGTGAGCCAGCGCATGGCGACCCCTGCCTTCCCGGCCAGCTTGTTCGCCTCGGTGGGCGGACGAATGGAGCGCAGGAGTTCCAAGCCAGCCTGGGTGACATGGGAGGCAGAAACATGAAAAAATTAGCTGGACGTGGTGGCGCTCGCCTGTGGTCCCTGCTCCTTAGGAGGCTGAGGGGGGAGGATTGCTTGAGCCTGGGAGGCGAAGGCTGCAGTGAGCTCTGATCACACCACTACTCTCCAGCCTGGGCGACAGCAAGAGCCAGTCCTGTGGGCCCCCCTTGGGATGCGCAGGAAATTAGTTCAGGACACACCCCACCCTCTTTGGTATCCCAGATACCAAACTCCGGGGATGATCAGGCCTCTCATAGAAAATGGTTTACCAGGCTGGGCGCGGTGGCTCACGCCTGTCATCCCAGCACTCTGGGAGGTCAAGGCAGGCGGATCACCTGAGGTCAGGGGTTCGAGACCAGCCTGGCCAACGTGGCAACACCCCGTCTCTACTAAAAGTACAAAAATTAGCTGAACGTGGTGGTAGGCACCTCTACTCCCAGCTCCTCGGGAAGTTGAGACGAGAATCGCTTAAACCCAGGAGGCAGGGGTTGCAGTGAGCTGAGATCTCATGCCACTACACTCCAGCCTGGGCAGCAAGAGCAAAACTCCATCTCAAAAAAAAAAAAAAGAAGAAGAGAAAACAGTCTAGTAAGGCCTCTTCATTGGTGGTTCATGCCTGTAGTCCCAGCACTTTGGGAGGCCGAGGCAGGTGGATTACCAGTGGTAAAGAGTTCTAAACCAGTCTGACCAACATGGCCAAACCCCGTCTCTACTAAAAATGCAAAAATTAACTGGGCACGGTGGTGTGTGCCTGTAATCCCAGCACTTTGGGAGACCGAGGCAGACAGACCCGGAGTTCTAGACCAGCCTGACCGACATGGTGAAACCCTGTCTCTACTAAAAATACGAAAATTAGCCAGGCGGGCGCGGTGGTGCGTGCCTGTAATCCCAGTTAGCAGGCTGAGAGAGGAGGATCACTTGAACCTGGGTGGAGGAGGCTGCAGTGAGCCGAGATCGTGCCACTGCACTCCAATGCTGGGCGACAGAGGAAGACTGTCTCAGAAATAAAATTTTAAAAAAAAATTTTTAATGAAAATGGTCTGGTATTGGCATGTAACCTACAGATATCGTCTAGATTTCTTATACTACTTCCTAAGGTGTAGATGGTTGTGACACTCCTTGTTTTGTGTGTGTGTGACTGGTTTTTTTAGTTTTTTGCTTTTGAGACAGGGGCTCTCTATGTTGCCCAGGCTGGTCTCAAGCCCCTGATGTCAGCCAAGTGATCCTCCCACCCCTGCCTCCCGAGTTGTGGGGATTACAGGCGTGAGCCACCCCGCGTGTAGTTTTTATTCTTATTTACAAACGTCCACTAGATACCAGGCTGTGGAAAGCCTGAGCAAGAGCAGGAGGCCCATGGGGACCCACATGGGGAAGGAGGCCAGGTGGGCCTCCATGGAGCCCTTTGAGGCCCTGGAATGGGGAGGGGCAGGGCCACTCTTGGGGTTCACATGTGTGTCTGGGGCAGCTTTTCTGGGAGAAGAAGCTGAGCGGCCTGAACGCCTTCGACATTGCCGAGGAGCTGGTCAAGACCATGGACCTCCCCAAGGGCCTGCAGGGTGAGCGGGCACCCCTCGGGGGAGCCGGAAGGAGACAGGCTGTGTGGGGTGGAGTGCTGGGGGCGCCCTCATCTCCTAGCAGGGTGGAGGGCTGTTTTGATGCGGGCACTGAGGGCAAATCTGCCGTGGGGCAGGAGGAGGGGCCCAGGACGCCTGGGTTGGGCCCTTCATACTTGGAGACCCTGGGGGTGGGGCGGGAGGAGGGCCCCAGGGCACCTGGGTTGGGCCCTTCATACTTGGAGACCCTGTGGGTGTGGCGGGAGGAGGGGCCTCAGGGCGCCTGGCTGGGCCCTTCAGACTTGGGAGACCGCAGTGGGGCTTTGTGGCCTCCAGGTGCGGTGCACGCCCCGGGGCGTTTTGACCTGGATCCTAAGAAAACAAGGAGGCCTGGTTTTGGTCTAGCACCGATCAAGGAATGCAGAGCTGGTGTGGTTTCGGCGGTGTTTTAGAGACAGGGCCGGCTGGGTGCAGTGGCTGATGCCTGTAATCCAGCACTTTAGGAGGCTGAGGCAGGAGGGTCACGAGTTCGGAAGTTCAAGACCAGGTTGGGCAGCATAGCGAGGCTCTTATCTCTACATCCCTACAGAAAATACAGAGCAAGACCCTGTCTCAAAAAACAAAACGTGGGCTTTCTGTCACCCAGGCTGGAGCACAGTGGTGCCGCCGCTGCTCACAGCAGCCTCTGCCTTCCGGGCTCGGGTGGCTCTCAGCTCAGCCTCCTGAGTAGTGGGACCACACGGCGCCACACCTGGCGGATGTTTTAGTTCTTGTGTGGAGACGGATCTCACTACGTTGTCCAGGCTGGCCTCCAGCTCCTCAGCTCATCGGTCCTCCCGCCTCGCCCTCCCAAATGCTGGGGTTGCAGGCATGAGCCGCCGTGCCCACCTAGTTTGCTTTGTTTCTGTTATGAAAGTAATGACACCCGCGCGAGGGGAATGGAGATGTGAAATCCGGTCGGGGAGAAGGTAGCAGCTCCGTTCTTGGGGCATTCCGTGGCCTGTCGGGGCCACGGCTGTGACCTCTCCCCTCGGGGCTGCCTCTCCACTGCCCGGCAGGGGTGGGACCCGGCTGCACGGACGAGACTCTGCTGTCGGCCATCGCCAGCGCCCTGCACACCAGCACCATGCCCATCACCGGGCAGCTGTCAGCCGCCGTGGAGAAGAACCCTGGTGTGTGGCTCAACACCACGCAGCCCCTCTGCAAAGCCTTCATGGTGACCGACGAGGATATCAGGTAGCCCCTGGTCCCCTGCCTGTCCGCCCTGTCTCTCGGGGCCGTGGGGTCCCTGAGCATCTCCACATGCTTCCTGTCTCCCCATGGCTCTCCCGTCTCTGTTGACGCTGCCTGGGTTTTTTGAAACAGAAGTAGTGGGGCAAGGGGACCCGTCGTCGGAGCCAGTGTGAACGGGTCCACCCGCATCCTCTCGGAGGCACGTTTTTGAAAAGGGTGTGAAGGCAGGTGCTGTGGCTCACACCCGTCACCCCAGCACTTTGAGAGGCCGAGGCATGTGGGTCACTTGGTCAGCGGTTCGAGACCAGCCTGACCAACATGGCGAAACCCCATGTCTGCTTAAAATACAAAAATGAGCCGGGCGTGATGGTGCATGCCTGTAATCCCTGCTACTTGGGAGGCGGAGGCAGCAGAAACGCTTGAACCTGGGAGATGGAGGTTGCAGTGAGCTGAGATCCTGCCACTGCGCTCCAGCCTGAGCGACAGAGTGAGTCTCCAGCTCAGAAAAAAATGAAAAAAGAAAAGATTGTGGTCCTGGGAGCCCGTGGGGACTGGCTGTGCTGGGTGCTGGGCTCCATGCTGGGCCCTGGGGATGGAGGGACAAGGAAAGCTGGGGTTCTGCCTTTGGGGAGGTGGCTCAGGGTGCCCGCGGAGAGGCAGTTCTGGGTGTCAGTGGCCAGCGTGTGGAGCCTGGAACAGCAGGGAGTGGGGGCCGCTGCAGGAACAGGTAGGATGGTGGGGGGTGAGCTGAGCTGTGAGGTCTGGGCGCCCGGGGTGAGCCCTCCTGCGGGGATTCATGGCCGAACTCGAGTCTGGTGTGCTGGGTGGCCGCAAGGCCCCCGGTGACGGAGGCACCTGCAGGAAGCCCTGGAGTGCTGAAGAGAAGACGGGCTTTTCACGGTCAACCTAGCACACGCTGAGGTCGGAGAAGGAAAGGAAACTCCTGAGGGTTCCAGAAATGGGGAACTAAGACCCGGAGCAGCCAGGGAGGTGCTTGGGCATGGGGGCTTCCTGTGGCAGCAGCCAGGGTTTAAAGGCCACGTGGGCACAAGGAGAAGAGATCCTGTGCCCCCAGGCAGGATGAAGAGATGGACCTAAGACGCCACCCCCGCAAGCAGACAGTATGGGCGCCGAGGGTTCTGTCATGAGCGGCTGGTGGGAGCCTCCTCCAGCTGTGGTACTTTTGGGTCGCCTCATTTGGGTTTGAGGTCAATTTACACTCTCCACACACTCGGGGAACTTCCCCAAAATGAAGATGGTGAAATAGGAAGAATTGACAAGAAAAGAACAAGACTGTGAGGAATAGCAGGCAGATAATTAAAAGCCCCTACAGAGCGTGTAGAAATAAGGCCGCGCACAGTGGCTCACACCTGTAATCCCAGCACTTTGGGAGGCCAAGGTGGGAGGATCACCTGAGATCAGGAGTCCCAGCCTGGCCAACATGGTGAGCCGTCTCTACTAAACAAAAAAAAAAAAAAAAAAAAAAAAAAATGCAGTAATTATCCAGGTCTGTTGGTGTATACCTGCAATCGCAACTCTTGGGAGGCTGAGGCAGGAGACTCTCTGGAACTCGGGAGGCAGAGGTTGCAGTGAGTCGAGATTGTACCACTGAACTCCAGCCTGGGTGACAGAGACCCTGTCTTCAAAAACAGAAAGGAAGAAAGCTTGGCATGGTGGCTCACGCCTGTAATCCCAGCACTTTGGGAGGCTGAGGTGGGTGGATTACGAGGTCAGGAGATTGAGACCATCCTGGCCAAAACGGTGAAACCCTGTCTCTACTAAAAATGCAGAAAATTAGCTTTGCGTGGTGCCATGTGTCTGTAGTCTCAGCTATTCAGGAGGCTGAGACAGGAGAATTGCTTGAACCTGGGATACAGAGGTTACAATGAGCTGAAATTGTGCCACTGCACTCCTGCCTGGGTGACGGAGAGTGAGACTCTGTCTCAAAAAAAAAAAAAAATTTATATATATATATACATATATATATATATAAATTGAAAAGGGCACTGAGATTTGGAACTCGGTGGTGGGTTGAGCAGAAGGTGGAGTCAGTCTGGAAGGACAGCGAGCAGGTGGTGGCTGCAGTGGGGTCGGTGAGCCAGGGTGTTCTGGGTGGTGGGGGCAGCCCAGGTGCAGAGGAGTCACTGGAGGGAGACCCCGGGTGGGAGGGCGCGGCTGAGCCTTGGCCACAACTGGGGACATAACACAGAATCAGCCTGCCCCACTCAGTGCCTGTTGGAGGTCAGGAGCAAGGGTTTATGCAGCTGAGCCCGGGGGAGGCTCAGGGCCTGGTCTGGAGACTGAGGGGTGGCCCCGAGAGAGGTGGCAGGTGGGCCATACAGAAGGATGGCGGGTACTGGCAGTGGCCAGTGGCAGCCAGTTCTCTGTTGATTGTGAAGGAAGGGGCACCTGCGGATTCCTCGTTCTCTCCTCCCATCCGAGGGCCCCTCCCCACGCTCATCCCCTGTCTGCATCCTCCTGGCTGCTGGCCTGGGTGTGACACGACGTCCCTGTGTCCCCAGGAAGCAGGAGGAGCTGGTGCAGCAGGTGCGGAAGCGGCTGGAGGAGGCGCTGATGGCCGACATGCTGGCGCACGTGGAGGAGCTGGCGCGTGACGGCGAGGCACCGCTGGACAAGGCCTGCACCGAGGAGGACGACGAGGAGGACGAGGACGAGGACGAGGAGGATCCCGACCCGGACCCGGAGATGGAGCACGTCTAGGGCAGGTGCTGCAGACCTTGGGGGCTGCCTGCCACGCATGGAGTGCCCGTCTCCCCGGAGGAGCCCAGGCGTCCCCATCCCGTGGAGTCGCTAAAGCCAGCCCTCCCTGTCCTTTCAGAAGCCCTGCCGAGAGCCCGTGCTGTGAGTGCCGCCTACTGGAGACGCCTGTGAGGAAGGCTGTGCTCCTGGCTCCCTCCTTGGCCGTCTTCTCTTCTCCGGGCCTCGGGGCACACAGCTGGGCCTGCCTCACCCGAAAGACCCTCCCTGCTCATCCTCTAAAGGGCCCGGGTCCTGCCTGGCTCCCCATGAACTTGGGGCTTGAGACCAGCTCCTCCCACGGCTGCTGCCTGCAGCTCCTTGAGACTGGAGAGCAGCCAGCAGGTGCCCGGCGGCTTGGCACTGGGGAGCACGGGCACCTGGGAGGGTTTCTCAGTCTGAAGGCATGTTTTTGAAACGCACATCGCCCACAGTGCGGCAGGAGGACGGGACTCTGGTCCTCCGTAGGGGACGTCCAGGACGGCGCCACCCTCTGGCCTGCCACGCGGCTGGCGGCACCACAGACCCTCACAGCCCAAATGGCACACCCGAGAGGCCATGCTCCTTCAGTAAATCTGTGACCGTCAAGGCTGGACGTGCACATCACCAGGCAGCCTCTGCTGCCACAGGGACGCCAGCCTTTGCTTCCAAAAACTGTACTCCAGCCGCTGCCAGAATGCTGTCAGCCAGCCCCTGCCTCAGTTTCCCTTTGTGTAATGGGGACACAGTCACCCAGCTTTGGGGTGGTGCTGACGCTCCCAGAGGTGTCAGGAGCCGCTTGGACAGGACAAGTCTCCCAGATGCTTCTTGAGGTGCCCCGGTCTCCGGGGAGCGTCTGGTCTGAGGCCTTCTGAAGGATCCGATGCGCTCCTGAACCCCCAGTGCCTCGGTGAGGGCAGGTTCCCGGCCGCAGGGGCCCGCCGCAGGCGAACCCTGGGCTCCTGCGGGTGGGTTCATTACCTTCATTGACCTTAGGCCCATCGAGAGGGCCTGTCCTGGCCCTGTCCCACCCGGGATCTGGGATCTGGCCGCTGCCTGGGGCAGACTGATGGGCAGAGTCACCCCTGTGGCTGGGCCGTGACCCCTGATGGTGCCAGACTGTGGGGGCCAAGGAAGTGCCACTCAGGAGCCAGGCTTGCCACTCTGCCAGGTGCCCTGCAAGGACAGCCACAGGGCAGTGGGCTGGCGGCTTCTTGCTGCTTCCTGTCACAGTCAAAGCACAAATTTTCCGGGTGGGCTCAAGGGCTGGGCCCCCAAGGGACCCTCCGTGTGAGGACCATGTCTTCCTGGGGTCGGTGCCCTCTGGCCGGGACCCTCTGCCGGCCCGAGGTCCCCAGGTACTATGGTGGGGTTGCCTCCCCTGTCTGCCTGGTGGAGGGAGCTGTGGGCATGGGCACGTGACTGAATAAAGCCACCGTGGGATGTGCTTAGAGCCTGGAGTGGTGCATGCTCCACCTCGGTGACTGCATTGGAGCGTCCGTCGCCGGCTGAGTGATGGGAGGTGACGGCCCAGCAGTTCCACAGTCTCACTAACGTACCTGACCCCAGACGCTCACACAGAGCAGGCGTGGGGTGTTCAGGGAAGCCTGGCCGGCCTGGGCATCTGTGGGCGAGGGCCGTGCCTCCCGAGCTGCCACCAGCTTGGCCTGGGCACTGTGGGTGTTGGCCTTGCTGCCCGGGTCAGGACAGTGGGCGGGGCTCAGACCCAGCACCACTCCTTCCAGTGAAGCAGGAGGGGCTGCCCGGGCCGAGGCGCCTCAGGCCTGCGGTAGGGGAGCTGGGCCCCAGGGCAACTGGGGTTCCGCCCAGCAGCCAAGGCCAGTGGAAGCTGCTTTCTGGACCTGAAGGCTGGGCGGCCACCCTCCCCACACCTGCCTGGCCACCTGAGGGTCTGCCTGCCCTTGGGACACCAGAGACCCTCCAGCTCTTCCTTTTTCCCTCTGTCTCTGTCTCCATCTCTCCTGCTCTCTTGCTCTGTCTCCCTCTGTCTCTGTCTCCTGATCTCTCTCTGTCTCCGTCTCCGTCTCTCCTGCTCTGTCTCTCCCTCTGTGTCCTTGGGGTCCCCCACAGGCCGAGGCAATGCCCAGCAAGAAGTGAGTTCTGGGTGTGGGTCCCCAGTGCTCAGGCTGCCTTCAAATTCCTGGCCTGGAGAAGCCTCACAGACCCTCTGGCTGGACCTGCCTGGTGCGCTGAGGCCCCGAAACCCAGACCTAGTCCTGGGTGGGGTGACCTGAGCCCCCAGCACCGGGATCATTCGTGGGGACCTCGTGACCGGCCCCGTGCGGTGCAGGTCCCATCCAGAGGTCACGTCTCAGCCCCAAGACTTTCTGGGACTTTTTTGTTTTTTGAGACAGTTTCTCTCTTGCCGGGGCTGGAGTGCAATGGCATGATCCTGGTTCCCTGCAACCTCCATCTCCTGGGTTCAACGGCTCTCCTGCCTCAGCCTTCCAAATAGCCACCACGCCCAGCTAATTTTTGTATTTTTAGTAGAGATGGGGATTCACCAGGCTGGTCTCGAACTCTTGAGCTCAGGTGATCTGCCCGCCTCGGCTTCCCCTTGCTGGGATCACAGGCGCAAGCCACTGTGTCCGGGCCTCATGGCACTTTCCAGCAGCAGCAAGAGCCTCACATGTCCAGCGCCTCCCCTCAGACCAAGCTCCCCACTGAGGCCCCGCAGAGGGCACAGGAGGAGAGGCCTCAGGCCCCTGTGACAGAGCTGCGCCTCCCAGCCCTGGGCTCCCAAGTCTCCTCAGCAACTTCAACTCGGGGGCATCGTGCCCCTCTGCTAGGCCCAGGGCCTCCACCTTGCTGTCCCTGCAGCCCTCAGCTCCCAGCCCCAGGCAGGCAGGGACAGCCTCTCCTACCGCCCCCCACCTCCCCCACCTCTGACGGCCCTTCCCACCCCCCTGCACCTCCCCCATGGCCCTTCCCACCACCTCCCACCCCCGAGGCCCTTCCCACCACCCCACACCTCCCCCATGGCCCTTCTCACCTCCCCACATACCGTGATGGCCCTTCGGACACCACACCTCACGACTGCACAGACCCCCAGGGACACCAGTCGCCTGTGTGCACCCCCCTGTGGCTGCCACAGCAGCTGTCCAGGTGCCTGGAGGTGCCCATGGAAAACGTCCCCAGCTTCAGGACAATCTTTTGGACACGCCGTTCCAGAGCCGGACGCAGCCTGTGAGCTCGGTCACACTTGTTCCAGATTCAAGGGGCCCAAAAAGTGGAAGCAAGTCCAGTGCCTATCCACGGATGAGGGAAGCACCCGGCCCGGCCACGCCACGGAGGACACCTCCGCCAGGAACAGGAACCAGGCTCTGACTCCCGCCATGGTGCGGCTGCCCCAGGAGGACGCCAGCACAGCGTGTGATCCCAGTGCTGTGAACGTCCAGGACAGGCCGATGCACAGGGACAGGAAGGAGTGCGTGGGTGCCGGGGCGGGACGTCATGGGGCGTGGAGGGAATGGATAAAAGGTACGCACAAAAGTTAGCGATAACGTTCCACACTGGTCTCTGTGGCCCAGGCTGGAGTGCAGTGGGTCGATCTCCGCTGGCTGCAACCTCCTCCTCCCACGTTCCAGCGATTTGCCCACCTCTGCCTCCCAAGTAGCTGAGATTACAGGTTCCCGCCACCACCCCCAGTTAATTTTTTTGTAGTTTTAGTAGAGATGGGGTTTCACCTTGTTAGCCAGGCTGGTCTTGAACTCCTGACCTCAGGTGACCCACCCACTTCAACCTCCCAAAGTGCTGGGATTATAGGTGTGAGCCACCACACCTGGCCAGTTTTTGTTTTTTGTTTTTTTTTTTTTTGGTTTGGTTTTTTTGCACAGTCTCTGTTGCCCAGGCTGGAGTGCAGTAGCACGATCTCAGCTCCCTGCTGCCTCCACCCCCAGGGTTCAAGCAATTCTCCTGCGTCAGCCTCCTGAGTAGCTGGGATTACATGCACCAACCACCGCACCCAGAGCCTCACATGTCCAGCAAGAGCCTCACATGTCCAGTGCCTCCCCTCAGACCAAGCTCCCCACCGAGGCCCCAGAGGGCACAGGAGGAGAGGCCTCAGGCCCCTGTGATTTTTTTGTACGTTTAGTAGAGACAAGGTTTCGCCATGTTGGCCAGGCTGGTCTCGAACTCCAGACCTCAGGTGATCTACCTGCCTCAGCCTCGTGAAGTGCTGGGATTGCAGGTGCGAACCACCTCACCAGCCACAGTTTTGTTTTGTTTTGTTTTTAGGCAGGGTTTCACTCTGTCACCCAGGCCGGCGTGCAATGTTGAAATCATAGCTCACTGCAGCCTCAAACACCCAGGCTCAGGTGATCCTCCTGACTCAGCCTTCCAAATAGCTGGGACCGCAGGTGCACACCAGCATGCCTGGCTAATTTTTTTTTTGTGTGTGTATTTTTTTGTATTTTCTATTTTTTGTAGTGATGGGGTCTCTCTATATTGCCTAGACTAGTTTCAAATTCTTGGGTGTCAATGGTGCGATCTCAGCTCACTGCAGCCTCCGCCTCCCGGGTTCAAGCGGTTCTCCAGCCTCAGCCTCCCAAGTAGCTAAGATTATAGGCAGCCACCATCATGCCCAGCTAATTTTTCTATTTTCGTCCGTGCCCATGCAGAACTTTTTTTTTTTTTTTTAATTTTTGTATTTTCAGTAGAGACGGGGTTTTGCCTTGTTGGCCAGGCTGGTCTCAAACTCCTGACTTCAGGTGATCCACCTGCCTCAGCCTCCCAAAGTGCTGGGATTACAGACATGACCCCACTGTGCCCCACCAAAATTGAGTACTTTTAATGGGTAAGCTTTGATGTATGCCAACTATGTATATACATATATGTATGCTTTTTCAAATAGAGTCTCACTCTATCATCCAGGCTAGAACGTAATGGCTTCATCATTTCTCACTGCAACCTCGAACTCCTGGACTCCAGTGATCCTCCCACCTCAGCCTTTGAAGTAGCTGGGACTATAGGCTTTACCACCACACTGGATTTGTAGTAGAATTTTTTAAAAACACAGATTTGGTGGCTCAGCCTGTAATCCCAGCATTTTGGGAGGCCGAGGCGGGAGGATCACAAGTTCACGAGTTCGAGACCATCCTGACCCAACATGGTGAGACCCCAGTCTCTACTAAAAATACACAAATTAGCCAGTGTGGTGGTGGATACCTGTAATCCAAGCTACTCGGGAGGCTGAGGCAGGAGAATCTCTTGAACCC